GCCCAGTCTCCACACGGTAAGTGTGGCCATGTTCACTGTGCGGACTGTGCGGCTATCAGTGTCACTGCTAAGACTTGCCAGTGATAGTATCATACATATCAATTTAAACAGATCACAAAGCCAGCTTTCAAAGATGTCATACAATAACATAAAACTGAAATGTATCACATCCTAAACGATAGAATCGTTAAAGTTTGACATGCCACATGAACGACCTCATGAACCGTAACTGACAACGCGCCCACTTTGTAATTGTGCAGCTAAGATTAGATTATAATTTGCTTCGTTGGTAAGCCTGTCCTTGAGATAATGATTAAAACATGTCAACCTCGTCCTCAGGGGGAAAAGGAGGAGCAAGGGTGGCACACTTGGTTAGTGCGCAGCCTTCGGTGCGCGAGGTCCCGAGTTCGATCCCCGGTGTCAACACATCCTTATTTCAACTTCTCTTTTTTCTGTGTAGCTTTGACTATCTTTAAATACCCTTAAAACGGAGAATTAATGGAGAGAGGGGGGTAAAAGGTACGCACCGTCGACCTCAAGTTTATCACTTAGTATTACTGTCACGAGTTATTGACGTAAAATATGGTCGCTTTACCTTTTTCTACCTTTTTATTAAGCCCTGGGGACGAGGTTGTAAAACATGTCTCTCCAGGAATTTTTTAACACTCTTTATTTTTTGCACATTTGCATTTAAAAAGAAGTGTATGAGGTCCCTGCATGCCTAGACACCTGTAAGCGGCTCATTTACTTCAGAGCCCTTGGACCAGAGTGTTAATGGTAGGTCTATACGATCTTTCAAAAAAAGGGAGGTCGTTTCGTCCGTTACAATTTACAAACAAACTAACTTCAGACGAGCTGAAATTAAAAGGAAAAAGGCCTCTTTTAGCCAACCAATGATGCATCATTTATGAAAATGAATGTAATTTGTTTGATGCAATTAGGCGAATACCCCGTGGTTACGACATGATCTTACGATCATGAATTCCTAAAGAGCAATTCAATTACCAACTTTTCGCAAAATAATGCTGTGGAAAATTACATAAAATACCAAAAAAAGCAAGGGTCAACAATAATTATGACCTGGTCCCTTATAATAATGGAGTGGTCATGATAAAGAAGCCCATCAGCCCCAACTTAGACCACTCAAACAGATTTCTGACTGATTACATACTGCAAAACTTTGCGTTCACTTATGCCTATGTTGCCACACCCGGAACCTAGAAATCGGCTCCTGGTCACCCCTTGTTTTTATTGCTGAATATCATTCTAAAGAGCTTTACGAAATATTTTGTTAGTAGGGGTGTTTTGAACATGATTGATATTTAGAGATGGTGACAAAAACGAACACAAAAAAAGTCACAAAACGAGACGCATGAAACAACCGCAATCTAATATTCGTTTTACACCGATATAAAGGCTTCTTTGGCTGCTATGCTGACGTTCTTGAAGATGGCCGGTAGTATCACAGCTAGTCCCAGGTTAGGTATACCGTTTATTACCAGTTTCACGGTTCCTGAGACTTAGGGCCTGTTAACAAAAAGGAGGGGGAACCCAGGTAGGTGAGGTAACCTGCTTAGGTGGGGTAAAAAAATAACCCTCCTTTACATGTAATCTTACAAACCCCGCCATCCTGGGGTGCAGTTTCTCAAGATTATTGAATGGTCGCTAAGCACGTAAACAAGAAAAATGCTGGCAAACGACGTCTAAGCTCAATTGCTGCCCTTGCTGCAACCTTCAGTGTTGCGGCTTTCTATTGTTACCTTTAATAATTATGTGAAGCCATCCGGCGCCAAAGTGAATTTTGCGCGAATTTGATGTATCACGAATCCGACCCCGACTAGCCTGGGTTACCTCACCTTGAAACGTTGACATGGCAAATTTTGACCTCAGCTGAGAGGGGTACCTGGTGTGGCAGACCGGGCTACCCACCTTGAAGGGTGACCCCACCTATCATGTAAACGTGATCAAATTAAAATGAGAGATTATATGGACAGGCGGGTTACCACACCTAAGTGGTTTACCATTCCTACCTGGGGTCCCCCTCCTCCATGTAAACAGGCCCTAAAAGTTAGCCCGGCCCCCTTTCTACAGTTTCAGCAGTTAAACTATTCACCATTTATCATTTGAGTCAATCTTGTACCACTTGAGTCTCACTTTTACGACTTGATAAGCTGTCATTATTTTTGGACTAAGTGCAAATGAGTGCTGAGTGCTGTATGAGTGCTTCAGTGCCAAATGTAGAGGCTTCATGATAAACTGTGCTCTTTTTTGTAAATACCTGATAACAGGTGATACAACAGACTCTTTGACAATTTCTTTTTTCTGAAATTTTGTGTGTGAATCGCTATGCCATACGCTTTCTTCAGGTTAAAGTGACATGTAATGACAAGTATAACCTGGGTGCCAGAGACTTTTCTAGCGCGGCTTCGGCCAACACCGAAAATTCCCGCCGTACGCGAGAAAAACCTCTGGTACCCAGGGTATGACAAGTAATACTTGATAAATAAGACTTAAGCCACATAATAAGGCCTCCTCTAATTGAAGTACATTAGAAAAGGGGAAGAGAACCCCAGAAGCTGAGTACTTGCAAGTTATGAAGCAAAGACGAGGCCATCTTAGAAATGACTTATGAAAATGTGGGCGGACTGTGGACTTGCTTTAAGGGCACAGTAATAATCAACTTAATTATACAATCAATACGCAAAAATGGATGGGAATGCCAGATGTTCGAGTAAAATTGTTGTTTACAACATGAGAATAGAATTCAGAGTGATTTAAGGTATCAAATAACAATTTTCAATCAAAACACCACAGGGCCCCCAGCAGATGAAATTTACAATAATTAAATCCTGTTTAGCACGCTTCAGTGGCATATTTGCAGTGGGCACCCCCTCTGATATTCATGGTACTGCAATAAGCTATCGCTGTGCAAAGTTTCGTGCTTTTGTCAACTCTGTAACGATCCTGACCCTAAGAGACCTGACTAAATAGGGACCTTAAGCAACTACGTGGACGACGACAACAACAACTTCAAAAAACAATAGGTTTAGTGATCAAAACAACAGCTCTGCACGTGCATAACGCTTTTTAAAAATTTGTAACACGCATCAGAAAGATCACCTTTGACGCATGTAACTGCTCTTTATGTAACTGTTAGACTATCGTTAATATTGTACCTTTTAGAATCATTATCTGTAAACAATATCGTATCATGATGTAAATAGTTTAAATTCAATTCATTTCTTTTTGTTTGTTTTTAACCTCGAATAATTAGCTACTTAAGCTAGGAGCCTAATAAGCTCCAGACCCTCGAGTATAAATAAAGTTTTCAGTTCAGTTTCAGTTAGTACATTATTTTAACGTCCTCAGCACGACTACGACGTGAAACCTCCTAATTTGACGTTTTATGCAGGAAGTGGACATACGACGACGAATTTTCCTTCCTCAAAGTCGAAAGTCGCCTGCATTTGACATATTGAGCGGGTCCTAATAGACGCCATTAAGTTCGAAAGAACGCAAATTCTATTTTTTAGCGACGTTTTCACTGCCGTCGTCGTCATCGTTGCTTAAGGTCCCTTATATTGTTGGTGACTTCACCTTCACTAAGCTATCAGAAGATAGTCTTCGTGTCATTTAACTACATTCCACAAACTGCGTTCTGCATTTTGTTTACGGTTATACACAGTAAAAATCCCTCTTGTACATTGATGCAAATAAACCACCAAACCACGACAAGGGATGAACCTTTTGGTATCGGGGCTGCGCTAAGTGATTTGTATCAACAAGTTGTTAGCTCTTTAAAAACGAAACTGAAATATACAGTTTTTTCTTTTTTTCTAGGAAAATTAACTTCAACAGCCGACCCTACACTTCCTTACAAAGGGGCACATTTTGAAGGTAGAGAAGCAGTGGTGCAAAAAATTGTTCAAAAACTTACCCAGGACCCAAATCCTTCCCGCATCATCATCATTGTTGGTATCCCTGGGATGGGTAAGACTCAAGTTGCCATTCACGTCAGTCACTTACTCAAAGAAGAACATAAAAAACCTGTTGTATTCATTGAAAAGAAACAAAAGCTTACAGAAATCTGCACCGAAATCATCCTTGGTATTAACCCTCTGGCTCCGAGACTTTCAGAGAGTCATGATATGGTAACAATAGCAAAGGGGCGACTTAAAGAGCTTAAAGAGAAGAAAGTTATTGTGTTAGACAACGTAGAAGGTATACAACAACAGGGAGAGGAATTTGACGACTTTTTAAGGTATGTAGAAACATACGCACCTCATGTTCAGCTAATCATCACTACTCGAGTGGATGTGGGTTTTCGTTCATCGAACATATACAAACTGCCTCTAGATCCTCTGGATTCTGAGTCGTCTACCAAATTACTTCAGGACTTAGTCCCAAACTGTGAGAAGCGACATACCAAGGAACTCGGTAGCCTCTGTGGTGGGATACCGCTGGTTCTTGTCAACTGTGCAGGCTTACTAGAAGACCTCACCCCGGAAGAGCTAGTCGCACAACTTAAAGAAAATCCCATCCCACTTTTGAAGACCGATGCAGAAGATGTTTACAATGCCTTGAAACACTTCCTGGTCAATTTTTCAGAAAACATAAAAACAAACCTTGTTCGCCTTTCAGTTTTTCCATCTGCGTTTTCCGTTAAAGACATGAAAGCTCTCTTCGGTGACGTATTACAGCCAGAGATTATTAAGTCTACCATGATAAGGCGTTCTCTACTTCGTAGAATTGACAATGAAAAGTTGGTTTTGCATCCTTTAGTCCGCGAGTTCCTCAAAGCTGAGAGGGAGCTTCTCAACATGGATGATGTACGTAAAAAAGCTCAGCACAAGTTTAATCACCATTACCTTGAGCTCCTCGAAACCTCAAGCAAACAATTTATCAGCAAAAAGTGGTCGCAAAATGCTATTTTTACCTTTAGGACAGAAAAGGAAAACATCCTGGAGATGTTCAACAATTTCCTGCAGGAAGGAGGCGACAAGAAAGAAGCAGAGTCGTGTATAGATTTCGCTAACTCTACCAAGGTTTTGGATTTCTTGGCCAAAGTTTTATCTCCGCCCTCTGAGTGTCTAGAACTGTATGAAAGGTTCTACCACATTGCCGAAGCATCTAATGACAAGAGAAGACTTGCGGATAGTCTAACTGCTGTCGGATTTCTTCGTCTCTGTAAAGAAGCTCACCGACGGGTCAGCCACAAAACTCTTGAGAAGCTTCAGCAGGCCTATGAAATCCGCAAGAATTTGCCAAAAGAACTACAGCACTGTGAGACTCATGCACACACCATCTCCAAACTTGGGCTGTGTTACGCACTTCAGGTAAAACTACAAATAGCATTAACCCTCGGACGTACAAGCAAATTCATACTCCCACCGTGGTACAAGAGGGTGGGGGGGGTGGATGGAACCCCTCCCCGGAGGTTTTGATACGTTGCAGTATTTTGAAACGATTGTACCTTAAGTGGAAAGCCTTTGATCTTCTTAACAAGATGAGGTATATTTTTATGGGTGGTGGCGCTGCTGGAGGCCAGTTACGTCACCAACAGTAGTCGCCATCTTGGATTTTACCAAGTTTGTTGTTGGTTCTCTCCCTTGCTCCGAGAGGTTTTTCTCCGGGTACTCCGGTTTTCCCCTCTCCTCAAAAACCAATACTTCCAAATTCCAATTCGATCTGGAACGCACGGACACGTTTAAACGAGTCCATAAGAACTCTTAAGTGCTTCGTGGGTAAAAAAGCAATTTACAATTTACATTTTTTAAGAGTTTGAAATCAGGTTAAAACCGCGAGAAATGGTAATTTTTTTGTGCTTTACATGAAAAATAACACATAAATAAACACTTTGCATGATTTTAGTCACAGGATTTACTTTTATTGTTGAAAGAAGTCGAAAAAACATGTATTTTTACCCCAAGGAAGCTTGACCACCTGCTACTTATGACGTCATATCTCGTAACCATAGCAACTGACCATCACTATACTAGTCTCAAAATCTGCGCGAGGGATGAACGAACAGCTACTGTAAACGTCAGGTGCTGATGTTTTATCCTTTAAGAAAAACCTTATGGGGNAAATAACACATAAATAAACACTTTGCATGATTTTAGTCACAGGATTTACTTTTATTGTTGAAAGAAGTCGAAAAAACATGTATTTTTACCCCAAGGAAGCTTGACCACCTGCTACTTATGACGTCATATCTCGTAACCATAGCAACTGACCATCACTATACTAGTCTCAAAATCTGCGCGAGGGATGAACGAACAGCTACTGTAAACGTCAGGTGCTGATGTTTTATCCTTTAAGAAAAACCTTATGGGGCGGGGGGGGGGGTGGCATCCAACCCCCCCTTGTACGTCCGAGGGTTAAGTGTTCTGATGATTGATTTTATTACTTCCATTACATAACGTATAAGAGAAAGGAAAGGCTATGTTTTAATACCAATGGAACAATGCCGCCAAAAATTTTCCTTTTCTATTTTCGCACACAGGGGTTTTGCCTCGAGAGGTTGTCTTTGAAGTTCCCGCACCTAAAAGTTATAGTACTTATTTTTTCGGATGTCTTGTAGTTTTTAAACAAAAATCAGTTATCAATGTTGCCTGAACAGGGAGTGGAAGGAGTAACTGGTTAATGATCAAAAGTTATCACAAAACACCCGAAGAGAAAAACAGGCTATGATCATAATGACGTACACTGTAGCATAAAATTAATTAACTAAGTATCCGATTGGAATTCTGGGTGATTACATGACCCAGATTTTTGAAAGATTTTAGGGATTTTTAAAAGCGACTCAGTTGCCACTCTCTGGATGCGAGTCTACATCGCATGTATTTGTTGCTGTGAGGTCAAACAAGGGACTCCTCCCATAGGTACCAAGTGTTATAACTAAAACGACACCTGCTGACCATGTCTCTTTGGTTGCGGCACTAAGCTGCGAACGAAGGAACTTTTTCTTAGATCCTTTAAGATATTTCGTATATTTTTTTTATTGCTTTAGTTTAAATTTTGCATTGAATTTATGTATTATAGATTATTATTATCATATTATTATTATAATTATTAGTTGACTAGTTCTCTAAGCAATTTCCGTAGGTCTGAAATATTTGTATTTTCAAATTATTTTTTGTTTGTTTTAGGGCGAAGTAGGAAAAGGACTCAAGCTAATCCAAGAAGCAGTTGATTTAAGGAAGGAGCTTGGAGTGCATCTGTATGTAGCAGCAGGTTATTGTGATCTTGGAAGTGAGTACCTACTTCTTCCATTATGACTTCTGTGATTACCTTTTATCAAATTTGTAGCATAGTCGAATGCCACCGTTGGTCAACCGCTACGTAATATTACAACTGCATTTTTATATGGCTCGAGCCCATAATTTAGGTTTAGCTCAAATAATTAATTCCGCTCAGTTATTTGGCAGTCAAGTTACTTTGTGCTGCATGTGATTAATCTGTATCTATTCATTTAATTTGGTGATTATAGATAGACGTTATCAGTGTATATGTATATTTGATTATCCATATGTTTTTATTATTTTTATAGATGAGTTTGACCGACTTAGTGATTTTAGTAGGTTCCATCGATGGTCCGCGTCATGGACGACTTGTAATTACATATTATAAATTGGGTTTTAAAAGTAAAATGCACCAAAAAATTGAAATATTTTCTTTTGTCGCTTTACCTTCACCAAACATTAAAAAGAACCATCCTGAGTGAGATTTGGGTAAAGATTTTTCTTCCCAAGCCTTTATAGAAAGATAAAAAATCAAAATCCGAGCACTTCCGAACACTTCACGAAAACGTTTCTGAAATGGCCGCGTGATAGACTAGAGACTACGTGACGTCAATGTTGGTCTTTTAGAGCGGAAAAACGTTCTGCGCAGGCTTCTGCGCATCCCTTATCGCCTGCGTTTTTTTGTCTCGTTCTGTGAGAGTTCTGACTGAGACTGAATGAAACACACGAGGTGCGAACGTTTGCTCGTTGTAAAGGCTTTTTTTTGTTTTTGTTCAAGTTGTTGTTTTTTCGTCACTTGAAAATTACTTTGGATTCAGAACAACCAATGTTAGAGTAAAAACAGATCATTCTGTCAGTTTGAGGAGGAATAAAACGTTTTGAACATTTCAAAAGAGGTTTGTATTTTCTGATAATTGTGCATTCGATTTGTGAATTGATTTTGTGTCCAGTGCTTCGCCTTCTTTCGCCGGGCTGAATTAAAACCGGCTTGTATTCTGTTATTAGTAGTTACGGTTAGTTTTTTTACATGCCCAGATTCATTTACCTTTGCAGAACCAGCTTTATCCTTGTCTTATGTCAAAGAACCGTAATGCTAACGCTTGCGAGTGAACAAACTTGAGCGCTTAAAACTTCCTCGGAACTATAGAAGGCCAGCAAGCTTATTCGAGAAGAACAGACTACTTCGATCACTTTTCTGTTGCTCAAGTAATAATAGTCAGAGTTTTTTTTTCTTTTTCATTTTTAATTACGTAGTTTTGTTTTCTTTCTGTACGCAAATTTTCCTTTTCACTCACTGTGAAGTAGCTGAGAACGACAACTGCCGGCAGTGGCTTCAAAACAATTGACTCTTTGCCCATATAAACAATTGCTGGAGCTGGATTTGACTGAAGCGAGCAAAACAAACCCTTATGTGCAGTTTTCTGTACTTTCTAATGATTCAGTTTGCTGAGTTTAATTTGTTTGAATGAAGACCCTCGCATGGACCAGTTATTACTAAAAAAAAAGTAGCTAATTTAGCTAAGTAGTCGGAATCATGGCTTGGCTGCGACACTTGCAACTGATCTTTTTCTTTTAAGATCTTTAGGTAGGTTGTTTCCGTACAGAAAATTCACTTCTTCTTTGTCATCAGGTATAAGAGCCTTAAGCCTTATGTTTTTTAATGAAAATTTGTTGTTTTGCAACCTTATTGAAGCTTTTTTTAGTTCACTTAAGCTGATTTTATGCATGATGGAATTGTTCTTTGCTTGTCGCATCTCTTTGCCAGCTTAAAGTGGCGTCTATGGTCCTTAAAGTGACCTCAATCGGTAATTAAATCTTTTACATAATTGGAAAGAAGTTTTTGCAATAATGTAACTTTAACTTTGTTTGAAGGAAATCTTACTAACGCGTAGGTTTTTAACAGGTGTTATGCATGTTCAACTTGACAACACAAAGCACAATTAATCTGCGCGAAACGATCAAGTTTAGAAAACTATGGTTGCTTTGAAACCGATCTTGGGGAAGATTTACTAGATAAAGATTAACTCTTTTTCTGCTCACATATCAACGCCAGAACTTCTACATTGAGGATTTTGTTTACATTTTAGTGATCTGCGAAGCTAGAAGTGTCCGATCGAGCGTGGGTTTTAAAATATCAGCTCGAGTGCGACAAAGTTCAGTGACTTCAAACACATTGTGGGCAAACTTGAATTTCTTTGGGCAGATTATTACACGGGACGAAAAAACGGATTTACCGAACGTCAAAGGTGAAGTCAAACGCGCGATAAAGGCCACCTTTGCACACCTTTGCACAACTTTGACGCGCGACAAATGTTTACATTTGCCCGCGGTCAAAGGCGCGTCTTCAGGCGATAAAGGCCGTTTTTGTCACGCCTTTAACCCCTACCTTTGACGCGCGTCAAAGGTATATTTCATTAGCATTTGTACCCCTATCAAAGGCGTCGTCAAATATGTCTGAGATTCAGGCCAAAGGTGTGACAAAAGCGCGGCAAAGTTATGTCTGTGATTAAAGTCAAAGGCTTGTGAAAAGTGTCGTCAAAAGTGTCTGAGCCTCAGGTCAAATGTGTGACAAAGTTGTCGTCAAATGCGTGTGAGATTTAAGTCAAAGGTTTAACAAAGGTGTTGCCAAATATGTTTGTTTTTTTTCCTCCCCTCGCATCGCGCCTCTCGCTCGTCTCGCGCTTCGCGTGAATTCCTCGTTCTCCTCGCGTTTCGCGCGAATGCCGCGTTATTGCCTCGCTAGTCATAAGCGCTTGATATACAGGCTAGAATCCAACTTGAGATTTTCAGTCAAATTCAATTGCGAACTGGATACCGTTTAAAAAGGTGGACAGATAAGAGATTGAGTTCTTAATCTTGTACTTTATTGTCCTAAAACCTCACTAGATGATTAGAAAGCTGAATAATTCCGATTAAAACTTTTTTAAACGCATAAAAATGGTTTTTTAAAACATTTTCACGATTTATTGTCTAAAGTACTCAATGCAGTTTGTCAATGGACAATCATAATGACTGCCGCAAATTTTTGAAGCACTATAAATGTTCCAGATTCACGCTGTTGTCACGGACGGCAACCTGCAAAATAGTTTAAAACACTCTTTCACGAAAGCCAGTGCTAAAATCATGGTAAGTAAGAAATGTTCTTGATCAGGAGCCTATCTGTCTTGATGTTATCTTTGCGAAGATTTTCATTCTAGAGTGCTTTTGACTCTTGATGTAAGTGAAAGACAAACGCCATGTATCTAACTTCAATCTTCCTCTGTTGTGTGCTTTTTTTTCCCACTGGAGACTTATCACTTTGCCTTGCTTCTTTTATCTGTGAAATAATTGTAAAAAAAATATAGAAATTTGAGATAAAAAGCTCAGTCATAGTGTTTTAAATAAATTTTTTGGCCCCACTCCCTTTTTACTATCGCTCCTTTTCTTCAGAAAATCCCCCTTTCTCTTTACCTTTATCAAAACTTAAAGACCCTGTTAAAAATGTGTAGCGAACCTAATGCTTTTGAATGGAAACATTACATTTCGTGTACATGTATTGTCATTAAGTTCGTCACCTGTGAAATTTGACGTTTGAATCGAGCCTTATTATCACATAATAAAGTCCAGGAAAATTCAATCAAAATTTCCCTCTATGCCCAAAGCTTAAAATTAAACTAAAGAAACACTTTATATTATACCTAGCCTGCATAACAAGCGTTTCCAATCGAGTTATTGCGCGAGTTAGCCCCTCCCGGCCCCTCCTTCCTCTTTTTTTGCCCTCTTGCACAAAACTCGCGCGGAAAAGCTTGCTACGCGGCTATTTTTCTACCTTTTTAACCCCCAAAGTTATTGTCCAGTAACAATAATGAAGGGACAGCTCGGTATGTTTGAATGATTGTTATTAAATGTTGAAACATACCCAGCTGCCACTGTAGTGGTAAAAAAATCAATGGAATATTTTAAAAATTAATTATGCAGTATGAGCCCCATTACGTATAGAACCCAGAAAAATCAATAGAAAGAGATACTCACGTTCGCAAAACATCCGAAGTCTTCAAATAATCACACCTCTTTGTTTGATAAACTGCACTGAATCCTGTTCAAATAAGCTTATGTACTTGCTTCAGTAATATGCCCATCAAAGTCTGGTACAGACATTTTTATTGAAGTACACTGTCAATGAAAAAAGATATATGTAAGTCTTATATTATTTCATTACCTGAGTAGTTCTCGCAGATAAATATAAACTGTTAGAAAAACCAGAGTTGGTTAATCTTGATGTTAGTAGGTTCTCGCATGAAGTTTTGAGTTGAATTGCATTGTGAAATATAAGCCAGGCATTACTTTTACAGAAATGCATTAACCCTATTAAGAAAAAGGGCTTGATCTAATGTAAACTCTACTGTGATACAGAAAGATTTTTATAGTTTACTGAACCAGATTTAACGATCAGAAAAGCTCCCAAGCACGATATACACGCCTGTTCGGAGTTGGTTTCTGTAAGCTTAACATAGTAAAACAACTATGAAGTTTGAAGAAGAACTATTGCATGCACACATAGAAAAGAATGACACGTACCTTTTGAACAAGTTTGTAGTCTAAACTCTATCAGAGATAAGGGCGAAAATATTTGTTAAAAAAAAGCTGGACTGCTTCGTACAAAAAAGCAGCTTTTGTTTTCTTCAGATCTGCGTAGTTTGTTTGTTTGCGCGGGCGGAGAGAGTTTGCAGCCGCGACAATTTCGCGCCAAAAACAGGGTGTCTTGCTTGGGTTCAGTCTTCCATCGTCCAGTTGTTGAGTCATTGTTTTGCGTCGCTATCATTTATTCATCGTATATTAATCGATCAAGGGGAAAATGATCCACTCAAGATAAGACAAAAACAAAACTCACTTAATTCACCTCGAAAAAGTACATATTCCAGAACATTTTCAAAAATAATTATAAACACCAATTACAATGATTACCAGCCTGTGTTCGGTATTGTCGTATAAATATCTTTAAAACAGTATTCAAATACAGCTTTTTAATTTCCTTTCTTAAAATCAGTTTCGACATAAGTGTTTGTAGAAGTAATTCATTGCATATTTGCTCTCACCCTTGACACCATTCAAAAGTGTTGTAAAAGTGTAGCGGTCGTATTTGACTTCATTTTTGACTAGTATCAAAGGTGTGGTCACAGCCACTACTCTTTTGACTTTATCTTTGACGTGCGTCAAAGGTAAAGTCAAAGTTACCAGCATATTTGACAACGCCTTTGATAAGGGTTAAAGGAATAGCAAAGCATTGATGCATTTGACTTGATCTTTGACGCACGTCAAAGGAGAAGTCAAAGTTGTTACCAATTTGACTTCACCTTTACCGAGGTCAAAGGAGTAAGCACAGAGGTTATATATTTGGCGACATCTTTGACGCGCGTCAAAGGTGACGTCAAAGCCAATACCATATTTGATTTAACTTTTGACGCGTGTCAAAAGTGTCGTAAATCCAATTTTTCGTCCCGTGTTATACAAAGATATTTTGTTTTTGTGTCCATGGTGGAGCTCCGGACCTTAAATATCCAGGAACTTCCTTATATGATCACATTTCGTAAATGCATCTTGAAAAAAATCGGACTTACGCACGCACATTTCCAATACAACTCAAGGAAATTAGTAAATGTCGTTAAAGTCAGTTTTGCTATGATGTATTCTTCGAGAAAATTAAATAATAAGAAGGTTATAACCACAGCTTGCAACTTTTGAAGACAAATTGCTTGTTCTTTCTAGGTTTATGGCCGCACAAACCACCACAACACTGTTTTGAATTTCCCGCTTTTTTTCACCTGACCAACATTGACGTCACAAGTTGTTTTTACCGACAATTTTTCCGACCGCTCTACGAAGATAAGGGCCAAAAAATAACAATTTTTAATTGCGAATATCTCGGAGATGCTTCCTTTAATTGAGATGAAACTTCGTAGTATGTTTATTCGGTTCATATTAAACATATTTCACTAGAATTGAACTAAAATAAAAAATGTCGAATTTTTGGTTCATTTGACCTTTAAGGATTTCAGTGAACCTCTCGTCTTTAGATCTGGTCATAAATAACTAGATTAGGAAAACTTTTATATACCTCTTATTAGCCGAGTTTTCGGTCAGTAATGTAAATTAAGGACCGAGTTTTTTTCCATCGCGCTTGGGCCATAAATTGATGGAAAAAAAGGGGAATCCGTAATTTACAGTACGGACCGAAAAAACGAGGCTAATAAGATGTTTATTATATGGCTTCTTCCTGTTTGGGGGACCGGAAACAAGTGCAGGACGCACGATTTGACAGTCATTTGACAGGCGTCAAAAAAGAAAGTTTCTATTGGCGCACGAAAACAATAGCAATAGCACATAGCAAAGGCTTTCCGAGAAAGTAAAAACAAATTCGTTATGTTGAAAAAGTTTATTCGGTCAAAACTAAGAGCACTGTAGGTTTTAGCTCTTTAATGTAACGCTGGAGTATTTTGGAAACCGGACACTGTGTCTGTCTAGAAGTCCTTTTTATCTTTCTTCCGTTTGTCCTTGTGAAAAAAAAAAACACTGCAAAAGGCAAAGAAGCTTTTCAAGGTAAGTTTGTTGTCATTGTCGAAGGATTCGCTCGTTAATTGTTTTTGGGAAAACCTCTCTTTCTGCCAGTTCATTCTCGTCTTCAATTGTGATCTGCGTTAAAATTTTGAAACACTGACCTCCACCAGCATTCTCCTCCTCGGTAAGGTTACGATTCAGTTTCTACATCAGCTTCGTTCTCATTAAAACAAAGTTAGGTTAAAATTTGGAAAGGCAAAGTTAACATCCCAGTCCTCAGGGTTTACAGTCAAAACTAAGAGCACTGTAAGTATTCAATCGTTAATATGACGCTCCTTCTCAATCATCACTAACGTGCCTATTGCCGATGATTATCAGTTTGAGTTTCAGCCAGTGATTTACGGAAGGAGATCGTAGCCACAACCCCAAACAAGGTTCCGGACTTTGATAAGAGGATAAAGGGGACAGAGAGGGTATCCCCCATACACACCCTATTCCATAGGTAATTCGTCTCGAGTTATTTTTAGAATCGGGATAAAGTTACCTCGCGCGCTGCGTGGATGTTTCGTGGAGGTTTCACATCACTAAACACCATGCAAAACATGTCGGGCGAAAGGCATTGAAAGCGTAAAGAGATCGAGAGCATTTCTGAATATTGAAGCGAAATGAGTCGGCGCTCACCTGGGAAAAGGGAATCGCTCGACTATTTGACAACCCGTAAAATCAGTTTAACTCGAAGTTATCGTAACCTCAGTGCTTTAATAAAATGAGAAATTTCGCCGGTTTATTGAAACCGGTCGTTTGTACAATAAAGCAAGTAGCAAGTAATATTCATGTACATGTAATTAGTTTTACAAATTTGAATTTTATTGTAGTTTTTTTAAGTTGTTAAGCGCTGTTGATCAGTGAATGTAAATAGCGCTCTAGAAGTTATTAAATTATTATTATAATTATTATAGGACGCCAAGTGTTATTTTTGTTGATAATAAAAGACTAATAAAAGAGTAAATATCAAACCAGAAATTGCTCTCTTCAAACTGTAAATTATAAATGATCCTGAGAGAAATATTCACTGGGTTAAGGATTTCCCTGCTGTACTGTTAGCTCTATACAAGAGAGGAAGGGCGATTCTTTTTTAATTTCCGTTTCGCTGACACAGCTTTAGCAGAAATCTCTCTTTAGTCGTTTTCGTCGACAAAACGAATAGCCATATTGCTCTCCGCGTCTTCCGCCATTTTTCTGCCTCAATTCGTGAAGGTCTCGTGGCTCTGAGCGTGGGTCATCCACGCGGAACACATCCGCGCCATGTGATTGGCTGTTGTCTAATCCCCCTTGGGATCTGTGGTCTTAAAAATAACTCGAGACGAATTACGTATGGAATAGGGTGTGTATGGAGGATGCCTTCTCTGTCCCCTTTATCCTCTCTTGGTGCTAATGTCAGCGGTAAAAGATTTCCATCAGCACATTTTGCCAAACATTACCAACATCATAAATAGCTCATTTGCTAACTTTTCTTCCTCACGAGCTTGGAAGAGGGGTAAGGTAGTACATTATTTGAAGGATGGAGATCATGAGGTTCCGAATAAAAACAGGCCTATCTCCTTACTACAAGTCCTCTCCAAGGTTGCCGAGAAAATTGCGTTTTGTCAATTTAACAACTATCTAACAGAGACAAATCGCCTCACTTTTCACCAAAGTGGCAACCGAGAAGTCCACTCAACGGAGACATTGAGTCTCACGGTAGCTGATCATATATCTTAGGCCATGGATAGGAAACATGTTACAGTAATGGTGCTGATCGACTTACTTAAAGCCTTTGATATCTTGTGTCATTTGAGCTTTCTTAACAAACTCACCAGATTTGGAACTTTGAACAAGGCTCTTCTATGGTTCCAAAGTTACCTCACTAACAGACGTTAACCCACCGCGTACCGCAAGGCTCAAGTTTAGGTCCCGTGCTCTTCGCCTTCTAGATGAATGATCTTCAAGAAGTCATCAAGTCAAGTAACATTGAATCCTATGTAAATGAAACGAAAATATATCTTTCGTTCTCGACAAAGGATTTGGATTCATATTCATATTTACGCCTAGTTGCTGAAGATCTCCATCACGTGGCTGAGTGGTGCTGTGCAAATCACCTATAATGGTTTATCCAGACAAGAGCAAGTTGTTGCTTTTTGGAGTGAGACAAATTCTGTCCAAAATGCCTCGGTCAAGAGCTACCACCTGTCTCATTTGCCAAGGACATAGGAGTCATACTTGACTCAAACTTGAGTCTTAATGAACATGTGTCGTCACTTCACTCCTCCCTTTTATCAACCTACAGTAATACAACGTGGCTTCTATTACAGAGCGCTTAAAACTTTGAATAATCTTCCTGCTGCTACTAGGAACTCACGCTCAATTTCACAGTTCAACAAGAAGGTGAAAAGAGAAATGGAGCTTAGCTGGATTTAGTGATGATTTTTGATATATCTACTTACTTTAAAGTGACTAAGTTACTTGTAATTTGTTTTTTTTTTTAATGAGAATGTAATTAGATATATTTAGCAATTATTGAATGAGGCTGAGTAGGATGTAAAGATAACATTCCCCGAGATCTGTACAACAAAAGCCGAATTCAATAATTGTTTCATTACTGATTCAAAATATTTCAAAGCTCTGAACAAGCTTATCTCCTCGTGGACGTTCTTCTTATTTTTGGCCTATTTTTTGGCTCAGTTGCAGGAAAGAAACAGTTTTTTTCTAGCAGATATTCCTTAAAAAGTAGATAACATCCATTCAGTTTTAGTCAGAAATTCAGCTATTTCGTCTTCGGATAGCCGTGAACGCCATGGTTTTTAATTCACTCTTGAATAAACAGCTAGGTCGCCGCGCCCGGAAACGACGTTGATCGATTGTCTATTGCCCAAGAAGTCTCGTTTGCAATCAAATATACTATCGATCAACCTCGTTTCCAATTAAATATACCATCGAATCTATGGTATATTGCTTGCATCTTCCAAATTTGGTCAGAGCTGGTTGGTTATGAAGAATTAACCGGGGAATTGGAGCCAGTCACAGAATGCGAAATATTGTGCATGAATAATAAATTATATACATGATTATTTTTCTACTCGATGTAAATTAAGTTCTGAAAAGCCCATTTAGGTTTTAGGAGAATCGACGAGTCGACAGAATGCGTTTTGATACTTGTCTTTGTTTTTCTTGTTTTAGACGCCCATAGAGAGTCCGGGGATCATGAACAAGCAATCCGCATTTGGCAGACAGAAACTTTACCAGTGTATAAAGATGTGCTTGGTGACCACCCTTGGACAGCCTCGATCCTGCGATACATAGCCAGTTCGTACAGGTGCCTTGCGAAATCTGAATCTGCCGATTCTGGAATAGCTGATCAAGCTGAAATGTACAGCAGAGAGGCTCTAGAATTGCGAATCAAGTTGCTGGGAGAACATCATGATACCGCACGGTCCCATGTTGGCCTTAGCGACATCTTGATCGTTAAAAAAGATTTCAAATCAGCTTTGGAGCACCTTAAAAAGGCCTTTGAAATCCAGGAAAAGGTTTTAGGTGAAGAACACGAGACCACGAAGAAAACACTAGAACAACTGAAGAAAGTAAAGTCCATGGTAGAATGAAAGATAGGGTCTATCATCTGAGATGATGAGGTGATTTGACAAGATTCACAAGCTGACATGGAAGCTTTGACCAAAGGCAAGAAAAGATTTGCGAGTTGTATCAGTTTAGGTCCCGTTTATATGGAGAAAAGTTGTCCTTGGCAGAGGGGACACCCCCCTACTCAAGCTACCCTAGGCGGGTCAACGTTTCATACATTTCCATACAAAAGATAGTGAACCGTTCACATGAGAGACAAAAACGTGGCTCATCTAGAAGGATGACCGCCTAGGTGGGTGACCCTCCTAACCAGGCCAACTTTTCTCCATGTAAAACACTTTTGCTCTCCCAGCTGGGTAAACTCGGTCAAGGGCAGACAATCAGAGCCTGCGTGAGCGCTGTTGCCTATCCTTCTACCCGTGACAGATTTTCTCCATATAAGAAGGCCTTAAGTATCCAGTGGTGGAGCTGCTGATGTAATAAAAGGTTTTTATTCCGTGGAAATGAAATGTACACTACTAGGATTTTATTTTCTCTTGCATAGCATTCGAACATATATTTTTCAGAATTTTCAAAAATCTGATCGCTCTCAGAAAGAGTGAATATTATCGAACCAGAGGGAATGACATTTCAAAAACTGCCAAAGGCCAGTCCCTACCTATGGCCTCATACATTTACGGCATCATAACTCTCAACCTTCATCCCTGAACTTTCAAGGCTCTTAGAAACAAGTATTAGAAAACTACACGTGGCAGGTCTGCAACAAGTGAAAAATTATCAACCAACTTTTAAGTGTTAGATATTGTAGTTTTTTATCTTTGTGCAAATTTTGTTGAAATTTCTAAGCACTTGTGAATAAATTTTTAATGTTTTAATATTGCTATTGAACTGATACAACGTTAATTTAAGGTACTTGTACTTCTGTCCTATATGTAATACCTGGTAAACAGCTAGTAAGCTGTCGCAGACCTCGACCCGATAATAAGGACTGGTGTGGGACCACTCTCTATAAAAGCTGAGCGTATGTCCATACACCCTGCTAGCAGATCCTTTCTTCTACTTCCGCTGGGTTTTAGCGTACAGTCAACTCTCTCTAAGACGGATACCTTTGGGACAGGCATTAAGTGTCCGTCTTAGAGAGATATACGTCTTATAGAGAGTCAAATAAAGGGAGTAAAGAAAGGCAGGGACCAAGTCTAGGTGTCCGGTTTTCAAAGGTGTCCGTTAAGAGAGAGTAGACAGTACTCGAAAGACACTGCATGAATAGAGTAAGACCTTTGTTGAGCAGGTGTTGCTTGTTGTCGGGATACAGTATTTAATCAAGGCTTTACAGTTACGCACTTGTAACAGCGGACGAATTTATAACCATCGCTATGTGAATAGACGAATGCTTGCACTTGAAAAACCAGTTTGACGAAAGACAACAAGATTGAGTAGTCCATTAGTTCGGGCTTCAGTAACTCCAAAGGTTTGACGCGATAGGACAGAACCTCCTTTTCTCCTCCTCACTCACTTTGTGTGGGAAACCAGTCGAATGCTAAGCTGAAAGACGTTTGTTTTTTTCTAACAAACTACGCAAAGGACATTTTGAAGTAGGTGTATGCGCTTGGCTTGGTGTACGACAAGCCCACCACATTTCAAAACGTTCCGCCCCCTCTGTCCACATATACAGCGCCATACTTTCATTAAAACGCAGTCGTTATGCAAAAATTCTTTTTGCACGCAGCGGGATGTTTAAGGATCAGCAACAGGCCTAAACTCCTTGCCAGGTTTCTCTCTCTTGCTTCGAGAAAGAACCCTGGTTGCGACTGGTGGCGTGGACTGAAATGTGTGTCAATAGAATGCGCAGCGTGGGTAGCTCCGCCATTAAATTTTTTCCACAAGACGACGAAATACTATCTGAAGAAGGAAGAAAATTCTTGCTTCAAAATGCCGCTCGCGTTTCTGAGTTGCGTGCAAGCTGCGTTCCTTTCTGCTAGTTACGATAGATTGACGTTAGAACGATCAGCTTTGCAAAAATTCAATATGTCTACTTACGATAACATTATTTTGAAGACACAATACGTTATTTGTTTAGAGAGTTTGTACTTGAAAAAAGATTCGCTCGCCCTCCTGCCAGCAGGATACGGAAAAACTTGCTCGATTTGCACGTACAAAATCAGCTTTTCATAAATTTGTCTACTCCACAGGTGCAGTTTATGAAAGGAAAAGATAATGCAAAAGTCAGGTTTATATGAAACACCACCCAGACGGCAGTTTAAGAGTGATTTTCTGTAAAATTCGAACTTCGGCCTGACACGGTACCTCATCGATTTGGCTGATTTTTGGCATGTAGTCTTAGAATGGTGTCCTAAATAATGAATGCATATTCTAAGGTTCGAATTCTCGTTGGTTTCAAAGATACAGGAATGACAGTTTTGACGAGGCCTCGAGCGGCCGCCATGTTGGTGAACTGAAGGAGATTTACAGTAATTAATTCTAGCCTTATCATTAAAATAACTTAATCGTGACTCATACAGTTGCAAAGAACTATTCTTCCTCCTTTCACTTACCTACTCTTATCTGAGAATGGTTAAGCCTGAGCTACGAACGGCTATAACTTCTCACAGCACTTTTTCGGTACTTAAAAGGTACACAAATTTGGTAGAAATTGGAAGGCCAATATCACCCATGCCACATCGATTTAGACTAAGCCATTTTAACTAAACATAGTTTGTTTATAGCTAAGTTAGATTGTTGAATAAAATAATTGGGCAAATGCAACGGAACAGAAATATGATTGCATGAATGCGCAGTGGTTCAGCCACTTGGCCGCTAAAACTTCAAAACAAAATTCGGTGAATATTTGAAAAGAAAATTCTTTAAAAATTGATCGTGCCTCTTAAACCCTATCTATCGCTTAAAAAACCCTCCCTTGTAATGTAAACAGATGATCTTTTGATTCTGATCTTGCGAAGAGCTTGAAATATGCGCTAAAATGAAAATTATAAATTTTGTTACACACGGTACTAGCTCAAGTTCGCTCTTCGATTTCCCAGACCAATCGGGAGCCGCTCGTGTACTGCACAGTTACAATTTTCTCTGTAGTATTTCGCTGTATACAGCTACAAATTACATATTTTCTTAGGCAAAGATAACGCAAACGTTGTCAATTTTAATCAAAAGGCTAGAAAAACCAACCGTGCACTGTAGCTTTATGCAAATTGTATGGTATTCGATAATTACACGTGTAAACAGGAACCTACCTTTGCTAATGTACACTGTTTGGCAGATCTTTCCAGCGTAAGATATAAAACTAGTACATGAAATGAAATTAAAGAACTCATCAAGTCAAATTACCTGATCGTACCGTCATTACTGAATAATAAGTCCGCAAAATATGACATGGAATGATCGGTGGGAGACGAAGCTATTTTTAGGAGGACAAGGAACTGCACGCTGGAACGGAACTGAAATGAACAACCTCAATCAAGTTCAGTCTTCTTGACGCTATTAAACGTTTCACCCGAATTTGAACAGGAAGTTGTTTTCTATTTTCTTTCTCATTCTTGCATGTATTCTGCAGTTCGCCCACTATTTTTTCGTAACTTTTAATTTTCTAGCTAACTGGAACTGTTAAGAACTACCAACCCCCCTCCCCCCTCCCCCTCTTTGAGTGAACTTTCATTCGGTCTGATTCACAATAATTTTCGAACGGTGACAAAGTGAAATTTGAAATGACATTTTATTTAGTATTTTTAAAAGCTCCTTCTTTTTTTCCCGATAGCCAGGAATGTTTTGAACGTAAAGGCTCAAGTGGCGGTGTTTTTCACGACTCTGCTTGTAGACTGACCTCACCACCAGTACCACGGACATAAAATCTGATCGGAGAGGGTCATACAGTAACTGATGGGTCTCTGAAAAGCGAAATGCAGTCACTTTGGGCGAGTAGGCTATATAGATGATGAACTCATTGTTTATAACCCCATAACCGTATCGCAAAAGTCGAGCCAGCCCGGGGCGAGCGAACACAATTTTGGGGCCACTGGCCACGCCCTTATGTTTAGCGGGAAATTGGTTGATTAGTCAAATCTCCTTAACTCCACGACCATGCACCTTTCCAAATATAGCCCTTCTAATCATCATATAGTTAGGGCCTCCCGTAAGCATTTGCAACTATTTTGATTTGTAGAAGACTGTTTAACAGTTTTCATTACCTTAATGTCTCGTAAACAACACGAGGTACATGTTCTGATCTCTCCCCCCCCCCCCCCCCCCCACCCTTCCCCCATCCATAACAAAAAATTTTCAGACCAACACTGAATTGCATGAAGGTATGTACAAAAATATGACCATCTCGAGGCAAGGTTCATCACTGTAACTTACCACATAAAAGCCTTTTCGTTGTTTGCCATCGACTGATTCTGTTCTGAATACTAAGGTTCCATAAACAACGCCACGTTTAGAAAGAGCCCGCCCTTTTCAATACAAGAAAACCCAAGTAGCAATTTCACCAACGGACATAAGCCGTAAGAAAAGGACCGCGTCAAATAGTTCATGAAATCACAAACGCCTCATGACACCTTTAATTCACTCTTTCTTCGATAAACTAATTTTTAATTTTTTAAGCATAAATGACATCAGAATGCGCGATTATGAGCATTGTAGCTTATGAAAAGAAAATTTAACACCTGATGCACATGAAAGCGTCTAAGAAGGGGACTAGGGGGAATTAGGAACATTGTGCTTACCGCTGGAAAAATATTGGCTAGTTCTTTGAATAGACTCAATTAAAGCCGTTTTTGTTCAGTAAGGAGCTGTTAGATGGGGGGAAAGCTACATAAAGTAGATCGCATCAGAATACGGCATAGGACTAGGCTCTCAAAATCGATAAGCTGAATGCAAGACCAATTATTATGTAAAACAGAGAAAAATTCCTTGAGGGAAAAAAATTATGGCTAGGGAAAAGACCCGAAGGTGGAAAGTTAGGATGGTAGCTTCTTTTCAGGTAATCGATCATTTACGTTAACTTCCGCTATCCGAC